ATAATTCCCACTTTCGATATCGTAGGTGAAGTAATCCGATCGGTTTCTTTTCCAGGACGTCGGTTCACGTCATACCATGAACGACAACGAAGGCGACAAGCCGAAGGCTACGGCCACGCGAGAGTGATTTACCGGTCTAGATCGTTCGAATATTAATTAAACGACGTGTTATATATCGCACGAGTAAAGCCGACGCGTTAAAATTGTAACACACTTACGCCTTCTTGTCATAGGTTTTAAAAGAAAATTCTGATATGTGAACACGAAGCTCAAATCAGAAAACAAAATTGTCTCTTCGTTCTCTTCACGATCTAAATATGTCATACGCACTGAAATCATCTTAGATCCTATTTCATGAATCCGTGTGTCGTTATTGCGTGACGATATGTCAATAAAACCGAATGGAATACATTTTTGATAATTATTTAAACATCTACGAATGAGAAAGATTTACTTTTTCAACTTTGTTTATGTTTTATTTCTTTGTTAATTATCTTGTCTTTTTTTTTTACATTCGAGATATCTATCTTACACGGTTAATTGTAAAGCAACATTTTAGTTTATTTTTAATATATCGTTTGCAATAATATCCGATATGTAATTATATCAAATATAATAAGAAAATAATACGTGGAATAAGTATATATATATATATATATATATATATATATATATATATATATATAAATTTATTTATATTATTTTAATTATATAATTTTTTATTTTTATTATTTAATTTCAAATTAAAACGTTATGAAAAAAGTAGAGCAGAATTCTACTTTTAATTGGAAAATTTATAAGTACTCTAATAATACGCTACCTTTATTAAAACTTTATTAATAAAATACATCGAGATATTTTTGTATGACAGTCAAGAAGAGAATTTATTTATTTATTATTACTGAAAATTGAAACGTTATGAAGAAATTATAGGAAAATTTGAATTTACGTTCGTTTAATTTTCACATGACGAGTTTAGATTCGGATGTCAAATATTTTCAAACGGAATGTCTGATTTTTCATTGTGTGTATTTTCAAATTGATGTATAGTATCACTTTATAATATATATATTTTTAACATAATATATATATATATTTTTAATTAATATAAAATAAAATTTTTAATTGTATTTTATATTTTAATAAATATAATATTTTGCTATCGTATAACGCCTTAGAAATTTTCGCATTATAGGAAGATTATATATATATACTTTCTATAAAAAAAAAAAAAAAAAAAAAAAAAATATTTAAAGCTTTGATGTACGCTATACGTATACAGACATATTTTAAAATGATTATTGTCTATTTTTTTTAATTATACTATGCATAATGAACGATAAAACGAGGAATTCTCACTAGAAAATATCATATTTATTAAATATGATATTAATAGATTCATAAATAAATACCATTTAATAATAAATTCTTTACTTATAACGATATTTATATAAAATGAAACAATTTAATATTATAGAAAAATCGCCGATGTGAAAGAAACTTAATAAAGAGAGAGAGAGAAAGAAAGAAAGGGAAAAAGAGAGAGAAAAAGAGAGTAAGAAACAGAGAGAGAGAGAGAGAGAGGGAGAGGGAGCGAAATCGTGCATCAACGAAGAGTCGAAGGTGGTATCTACAGGGTGGTTCGGTAAAACGAGTGTCGGATAATTAATTCGGATGACCCCTGTACCCCTTCTATGCCCGAGCACGACGGTGGCTGAGACACGGTTCTCTTCATCTCTTTCTAATACGCAAACAAACAAACAAACACACACACACACACACACATGTACATGTATAAATACATATACAACTTGATCTTTTTTTCTCTTCGATCCTTCTTCGTTCTCTTCGTCCGTTGCCTTTTTCTCCCTTTTTTCTTCTCTTCATCCTTCTCTTCCTTTTCTACAACAGCTTCCTCTTATTCGAGATACGCTGATCGTATCGTGCCGCGGGTGATTTTAAATCAGAAAGTTAATTAGACGCGTTTCATTGTCCTTTATGTCGTACGTCCTTTCGTTCGTTCATTCGTTCGTACTAAGAGAGTAGAGAATTAAGTAGAGTTAGTTATAGTAGATATGTAAAACGGCGGTCCTTATGTACTGATACAAAATAAATCATTGTGTGTGATATGATCCACAGAGAAAGAGGGAGAGAGAGAGAGAGAGAGAGAGAGAGAGTACTGCTTTCATTATGCGAACTAATTAAACTCCGATCGACCCTGATACTTAATGTCGTCTTCACAGTCTCATTTTCACCGGTGAGAAAAACATTTCTTTGATCTCCCTTTTTGCACATTTTTTTTTTTACTCTTAACTTTTCATTCTATCTAACTTTCTCTCCTTCACTTATTCTAGGTGTCTTCAAAACTCTCTCTCTCTCTCTCTCTCTCTCTCTCTTTTTTTTCTATTATTATTTTTTTATGTTTTTATTTATTTATTTAGTTTTCTTTTTTTTCTTTCGTTGGAATCTCTTTTAGATAACGTTTCTTAGACGATCGACGTACGGTATCGTATAATATAATCGAATGTAATAGAAATTACGTGTAAAGAGTCATCGATCGAAATAATGCTACTTGAGATTTTTGATATTATATGTTTTCTATTCGATTAAAATTTTAACTCGCATTAAAATAATATAAATAAAAATATAAAAAGAATATAAATAAAATTCGAAATTGTATTTAATTTATAATTTCAATAGAATAGAAAACGATATAGATAATATTGGAAATTGTATTATAGCTTGTTTAAAATATACGTTATTACAATGTTCAATATTTTAATAAAATTGTGTAAAAAATGAAACAAGGTATGGGTTGACCAATCATTAGTTTAAATTGTATCTTCTTAAAACAGATAGGTAATAATTAAATTTGTAAATGAAAATAATAATAATATTAATAATAAATGATTATTTCGTAGAACAAAATTAATGTGTATTATAAAATTTATGTTTATTATTAATAAAAAGATATATTTAACTAAAAAAAAAATATTTAAGTAGTGAATTTTTTTTTTTTAATATTAAAAAAATGTTACTAATGTTTATATATATTTTATAAAGAATAAAATGACAAAAATATCCAATATACAATAATTATTAAATAACGTATATAAATATATTAGAATTAATTGTTTAAGTCTCACAAGTTGTAATATAATTATTGATTTTACTTTATTTAGTATTTCTATGAAATTTTTATGAATCTGTTGCATTTTTTTTTACGTATTTTATTGTATATATTTTTTTTCCATGTTAGAATAAACAAAAATAATTCTTTTTTTTATATTTTTCGTCAATATCAGATAATATTTATTAATATAGGTAATAATGAAATAATAGAAGGTAATGTTTGAATTAAATATAAAATAATATTAGATAATAATTTAATATGGATTAAAATTTTTTATATAGTCAAAATGACGATTATTCATTACTATTGTGTACTAAGTAAATTGATAAAAAAATTACATCGATCATATATTATATTATTGTACTGACTGTTTTATAAATATATTTGCACACGAAGTAAGATGCAATCTACAAAATTTTTATTCTATATCTATTTGAAATGTTAAATTTACAAAGTAATTAACGTTACAAAATAAACAATAGACAGAAATTGATATATATATCTACATTATTTTCTAAAATTTCTTATAAAATAAATATTTAAACAAACATTGTACATGATGTTATTATTACAGACATAACTTTTTATAAGACATATTAACATCATAATTCATTGAATTTAATTTCATAATTCATTTATATCATATATTTACTATTAAATATCGTTTATACTTGGTAATAAAAAAAAAAAGAATAGAAAAAAAGAATAATAAAAAGCATATGCAATCGGTAATGCATCTTGCAATTTTCTTCTATGAACCTGAACATACGTATTCTCATAAAACGGGATAACTAATGTAACACTTCATTAAAAATATTTCTTCAATTTTATACATTTTTATTCTATACATGCCGTTCCCGATTTATTTTATATATTTACTATTAAATAACAAATAAAATAAACCTTTTTTTTATATTTAACAATAAGAAAAATAAAATGACATACAATTTCGACGACCAGTATGCATTTGGCAACTACACGATATTACGAATGTGTTTCAATATGGGTATTTCGAATGCTTTAAAAATAAAATATAATGTAGATATAAAATCGTTAAAGGTATTTCAAATCCCTTCATATTTCACTTTTGTCGTTTTTGATTGGATGATAAAAAAGAAAAGAAAAAAGATCTGTAATGTAACGCGATACAACGAGATGTGGAAAGCTTCATTTCATGAAAGAAATTTACTGGTTCCAAATAATTATCAAGGAGGTTCGTATAATATATATTATATATTTATAAAGGTTGATATAAGGGAGAAAAGATTAATATGTATATAGGGTGAAAGATAAGGATTTTGCAGAAGCTAGAAACTTGGTAAGGGCTTTCGGATAATTGGGAGTCGTTCTTCAGATTATATTGTTGCTAACTCATCACTTTTATACTCCCTTTATAACCTATGTAATTGATAGGGTTTGTCTTTTGCGATGATAAACTCGATTCCTTTTTAATCCCCCATAATGTTTAATCATTAATGTGATTCAAACGATTGTTAGTTAAACGTAAAACGTGAATACAAAATTTTCTTATATTTTGTTAATTCAAATGAATTTGTAAATAGTAGATCATATACAGATTATAAATTAAGAGGGTAGATGAATGTTTTCTTCGATAGGAGTAATAAACACATGTACATATATATATATATATATATATATATATATATATATATATGTATAGAAGATGATGTTATAAGAGAGAAGTAGATGTATGGAGATGTATATTTCGCAATTTTTTTATCGAAATTATATTCTCACAATACCGTGTTATATATAAGAGTTTTAAATATATATATTTTTAAAAGCATTATGCTTTGTGAAAAAACTTAAATAGAATTCAATTAACGTTTCGATAAATATCACTCACCTCTGCCATTTGTGCTTTTTATTCTGAAACAAACAAAAAAGAAAAAAAATAAATTAAGATGAAATCCACACGTTTTTAAGCTAGGCATCTATCTATCCATATATATATATATATATATGGATATATATATATATATCCATATATGGATATATATATATATATCCATATGGATCTATATATGGATATATATATATATATATATATGGATATATATATATATATATGGATATATATATATATATATATATATATGGATATATATATATATATATATATATATATATATACATACACATATATCGATCGAGATAATGAAGCGTTTCCTTCAAAAATGGCATATCACGCTGACGTCGATAGTTTTTATGTACATATCTTTGTAGGACGAAAAAGAAAAAGAAAAGATTTTTAAGAGAATGATTGATAAAAGATAGGAGTGAAAACATACGATTATAGTCGACAATTACACTAAATAACTTTTTAATATCCAACCAAAATTTTTTTTTAGCCTTTTGAATAGTTTTCGATTCATTCTTTCATTGAACGAAATTCGAATGAGTTTTCTCTCTCTCTCTCTCTCTCTCTCTCTTTCTCTCATGCTCTCTCTCTTTCTATTTTTTTTTTTCGTTTTTCTGTTCGCCATTCACTTGACGGATTGTTACTTGGCTCGATCTAATTAACGGTAGACACGTTTATATTCCATCTTCCTTTACTTCGAATCAATCCTTCTCTTTCTCACTCGAAGAAAGAACAAGAGCATAAGGGAAAGAGAAAGAGAGAAAGAGAGAGATACTTAATCGAGGAACGATCGTCTCCTTTGATTTCCAACGGATTCAAGAGATAGGTAGGTGGTAATTTAAGGGAATCAATCTCAACTTACACCGACTACTTACTCGTTGCGAGAATAAAACCGCGATCGTACTCGTGAATCCGTCGAATCGTCGATCCGTATCGCGTAGCTCTCCTCCATTGCACTTCCTCCTTACTATGCGGTTTTTGAGACGATCGTATGAGAAATTGGATCGCAAGACACTACATCTAGATTTCGAATCGAACGGCTAAGAACCACGTACATTTTTATCGAACCGAATGATCTTTCTGTTAAAACTATTTACTCTCTCTCTCTCTCTCTCTCTCTCTCTCTCTCTGTGTGTGTGTGTGTGTGTATATTTGTGTGTGTATATTTATTATGTTCTACAATTTCCGTTGGATATTATTTTTCTCTCGAGTGTTTCATTGGATCGAAGAAAATGCTAAGTCACGATAACGAATGCGATCTTCTCTTTCTCTCTCTCTCTTTTTTTTTGGAATTAAAGAGTAAATTCGTATCTTATGTGTTCGTTACTTTCTTATTTTCCTAGTTTTTTTTTTTTTTTTTTTTTTTTTTTTTTTTTTTTTTATTGGAATTAAAGAGTAAATTTGTATCGTACGTGTTCATTAGCTTTTTCTTTTTTTAATACATTCTTTTTAATCGTTAGAATATAGATATGATTTATAATAGGTAATAGAAATATTTTGAATACTCACCTGCGACAATGTAAAAGCGTTACCATAACGACCGCGCCAATGCCTGCTGATACTAAGGATACTATCACTAATGTTAAAACCCATCCTAGTTCTCCGGTAGCTTCTGTAAAATAATAAATAATTATGAATGATATTAAAAATATTATAAATCGTTAGAAATCAATTATTGAATTATTGATCAAAACTTTTTTCTTTTAATTTTATATTTGACAATAAATATGATTACTTGTTGTTACATTTATTTTATTTATTTATTTATTTCATTTTATTTCATTTTATTTCATTTTATTTCATTTTATTTCATTTTATTATATTTATTTTTTTTATTTATTTAATATTATTTTCTATGTCTTCGAAGTCTAAAGTAATGGAAAATCAGTAAAGTGTGTGTGACTTTTAAAATGTAAAGATCAACATTTTAGGCCTGTTCGAATAATAGTAATATTAATAATAATATTACTATTAATAAAATTTCTATTCTTCTATTAATATTAAGTAAACCTCAATTTTAATCTCGCATAACACGGATTTACATAACACGACGACAAAAATTGTATTAGTGTTCTTCTAAACTGATTATGAGTATAAATAAATCGAATCAATCGAACATAGTCGAATGTATGGTAGCAATAATTTTTTAATCATTTTTATTTTTATATGCGATATTTTTTATAACTTTCAAATTATAATGATGCCTTACAATAATAATAATAATAATAATAATAATAAAAATAATAATAATAGTAATAATAATAATAATAATAATAATAATAATAATAATAAAAATAATAATAATAGTAATAATAATAATAATAATAATAATAATAATAATAATAATAATACTATAGTGAATAATATAATAATAATTTAATACAATAATACCGCAAATAAAAGAATGACATTTTCATGATATTATAACGATACTCTAATAATAATAGCATATTAAAATGCATATAATAATTAATAGCATATAAAAAAACTATAATAATAATAATAATAATAATAATAATAATAATAATAATAATAATAATAATAATAATAATAATAATAATAATAATAATAATAACAATAATAATAATAACAATAATAATAATAATAATAATAATAATAATAATAATAATAATAATAATCATCATCATCATAATAATAATAATAATAATAACAATAATAATAATAACAATAATAATAATAATAATAATAATAATAATAATAATAATAATCATCATCATCATAATAATAATAATAATAATAATAATAATAATAATAATAATAATAATAATAATAAAATACTATTATATATATAATAATATATCAATAATAATATATTATAATACCATCATAATAATATTATATTATAATACTATTATAATATGTATGATAATATAAAATAATAATATAATAACGATACATCGATCATCAAGAAGAATAATATTGATTATAAACAATAATGATTATTATTATTACACTAATAAAGTAATTATCAGTATAAATTTGATTGAATCACATAATAGTATAAAATAGAATTGAAATCGAAAAGAAATATTTCCCCAATAAAATTTGCCGTTCAATGTGATAAAATTTTCTTTCAATCTGATAAGAAACAAGACGATCGAAAATCAATCGAAATTTTGCATCTTTTACTCTCTCTCTCTCTCTCTCTCTCTCTCTCACTCTCTCTCTATTTCTCTCTTTCTTTTTCTCGTGCGTAATCTCGCAAGATCTCTAAAGATCTCTCGACCTTAATCGTATAATCTTTCAGTACGAAATCACCCTCAATGAAGCTGGGACTATCGAACAAACGCGGCATTAAGACATATTCTCAGGGATGATCTCAAATAAATCGAGGTACGAGGCACTAACGCATTACGTTCGCGCCTGCACGAAGTGCCGGCCGTAATTGGCTCGTGGCCCATACTCACAGAGTCCTGTATTCTCACAGCAGGGATTCCGCAGGTTTATTACACATCCTTCGATATTATTTCTGCGATACACCTACCAAAAGCTCTCTCTCTTTCTTTCTCTCTCTCTCTCTCTCTCTCTCTCTCTCTCTCTCTCTATATATATATATATATATATAATATAATATATATATATATATAATTCTATCTCTCTTTGTCTCTCTTTTTCTTTCTTTCTTTCTCTCTCTCTTTATCTCTATCTCTCTTTGTCTCTCTTTCTCTTTCTTTCTTTCTCTCTCTCTTTTTATCTCTATCTCTCTTTGTCTCTCTTTCTCTTTCTTTCTCTCTCTCTCTCTTTCTATCTCTCCCTTTCATTCTATATCTTTTTCTCTTTTTATTTCTTTTTCTCTCTTTTTCTCTCTCTCTTTTTCGTCCTCTTTTTCTTCCTCTTTCTCTGTTTCCTTTTTCTTATTTTTTTTTCCTTCGTTCTTCGAAAGAGAATCATTTGATTTTAAACGGTTTACACGGTTCTTCGACTGGTTTAGGTATTTAACGAGATCTCGGAGATTATCATCCGCGTCGACGTAATTAAGAGAATCCGAATAAGTTTATACTGCTTGGCAAAACGAAAAGAAAAGGAAAGAAAGAGAGGAAGAAAAAATGAACGAAGCAAGCTTCAGGATTATTTATAGGATTTATATGATTTTTGAGCAGAAAAAAAGAAAACTCTTACTTCATCCCTTTTCTTTTTTCTTTTTTTTTTTTTTCTTTTTTTGAAATGCCATCTTTTCTTTTTTGCTAAATTTTGTATTACTTTTATATGATTAAATTTTTCTTTAATCGAAAAGAATGTACTTCGAAAATTATATTGAAAATATTTTCAATTACATTGAAATAATGATATATTGTGGAGAAATAGGCATTGACGTAGATATATGGAAAAAATAAAAAAAAAAAAATATAAAGAAATATATATATGTTTTCTTAAAGTATGTAATAGTAAAGTTTTCTTGCACTTCGTAGTCGGAGTTTTGTAATTTTGTTTCTATACAAAATGGCGGACTTCTATATATATATATATTTTTTTTTCTTCTGCCACTTTTCGTGAGCCTTTTCGTTTTTGTTTACGAAAGCAATTTAAAAATAAAAATCGATCGAACCTGCAATGAAGATTTAAATTGAATGCGGAATTTAATTGAACTTCTATTTATTAATTAATTTTTACGTATTGATTGCGTAGTTTTTTTTTTTTTATTAAAGTAAAATAATGAAAAAAGTATACAGTCCTAATACGATGTACATAATAGTGCTGATATTAGATCAAAAAGTTTCTAATCATTTGATCTAGTAATTTTTCAAAGATTTCCGATTACAATTAAATTTTTATTGGATCTTCTTGAAATTATACATTTACAGTGAATGTAAGAAAATAAAAAAGAAATTAATTTTTTGACCAAAAAATGTCTTTTGTGTATTTTGATATTCCACTATTTTTTAAAATTTTATGTAAAATTTTAATTATATATATATATATATATATATATATATATATGAAATATAAGTCATTATATAAGCTATTTAAAATTTATTGGAATTTTATTTAAAATGTTAATTAAGTATTCTCCCAGACTATGAAATGTATATACTTTCCGAGAAAATAAAAAAAAAATAAAAAAATAAAAATAAAAATAAGAAAAAAAAAAAAAGAAAAATCATTTGAGTGGTCATCACCATTATTATTTTTCAAGCAAGATGACAGAAACAGCTTTCATTTTTCAAGATTTTCCTTTTGCTTTTTCTTCGCGTGCCTCGCGAATGACTTCTTTTACTTTAGTATACATATACATAAATACATATATACATATATACATATATAAATATACATTGAGGCCAGTTCTAATGAGTCTAAGATTGTAATAGAGAAATCGAGGGATTCTTGAAACGTTCCTAGATGGCATCCTAAAGGAACTCATTTTTCCTTGTTCCTGCTAATTAAGTGGTAGACGGAGATGCCAAGTCGTATCGAATCGCGGGTTTTGCAGCTTCAAATAAGATATGTCGAGGGACGTTTTATCCGCTCTTTTAGAAATCTAATGAGTTCGTTCTTGAGTTTCGAACTGGAATAGATTCCTTTGGTGCGATATATCAAAGAACGTTTTTCTAGCACTTACCGGTTGATCTCACCAAGGACGATGCTTTCAATAACAAAGTTTGAATATTATTAAAGTAAATAAATATATATCGAACGAGTATAAATAACTTTTGAATTTTAATCGATTCTGATCGTCTATATATAAGGTAGTATATTAATTATGTACATTTATGAATTATTATATTGATTGGAAGGCAAATGTTTTCCCATATGAATTAAATTAAACAAGTTAATTAATAATTAAACAAGTTACATTATTTTAATTGATACGCGTATATTCTCAGATCTTTGTATTCAATTCGTGGTTATCTCGAAGATCTAGACACACGGTATAGCGCATATTTTTTTTTTTATGAGTTATTATAATCTATTTAAATTATAATCTAGTAAACTATAGTGAAAAAAAAAATATATATATATATGTTTGTTATTATTAGAATAAATTAAAATAATATCGAAATTATTTCTATGTACATAGAAAAATACATTGTATATTGAAAAAATACGTTTGTATATATCAAAATATTGTACATTTGTTTCACTTTTAATTGAACTTTTACGTATTAATTAATTTTTACTTGTCGATTGCATAATATTATTTTTAAATAAAGTAAAATAATAAAAAAAAAAAAACTATACAGTATCTGTAAGGTGTACATAATAGTGCATACATTATTATAGCATACATTATAGCATATATTATTTAATTATGCGTAAATTTTCTTTTCTTTTATAAATTTTAATCTCATTTTAACCTTTTTACAATCTCCATGACATATAACACACGAATTTTGGGTATTATACTTTTGTATATCAGATTTTATTATTTTAATGAAAAAATAATTAATAATTTCAGATTGGAAATAATAATATCACACTCAGTATATCTCTCGTAGATAGAGTAATTATGAGTGAGATAAATATAGAGGAAAGATTGCTCATGTTCATTCGACGCATGTTTGCCATGTAATATTGTATAATAGTCGGTGCACCGCTAGACAAATTGTTAGTCGCCATACATGTGTTATTATTACAAAAAAAAGAGATAAAAAT